GAAGTAAAGGTGACGATCAACTAACATTACGTAATGAATATTTTACGATGAGCTATATGAATTTAGAAATTATACATATACATGTAATAAAACATATTTGAAACAAAAGATAAAAATGTTATTGCTGATTATTTCGAATTATTTGTTGGTCTTGTCAATACTCTGCCGAATTACGTTATATATGTATACGTCAAATCTGTGATTTCGGTAAATTTGCTCTTTGTTCCTAATGACACATAATTCATGACGTTTAAATTTTGTATGTGGCTATTTTTCGACATCGCAAATAAATCGTTGTAACTTGAATTTATTCGCTGAATCTAACGATAATCTCGTGAGGTATAGTTCAAACTCAGAGACAAAATTCAAAATTAAACAGTGTTTACAAACTAAATTTGAAGCCGGGGCAAGCCGGGGTGTGAACGTATTCCGATTCTTGCTATTGACCTCACATCAAGAATCCGCAAAATCTAATCATGTCGACAACTTGGGTACCGATGGAATCGAATCCGGATGTAAGACTTATTCTTTCGAATATAATCTAATAAGAATTAAACATAAATATACTGTTTTATGTAAACTAATGCCATTTCTTTGTTTTAGGTTATGACAAAGGCAAACTATCATGAATTGCATTATTAATACGTATTGACATTCAATTTTATGATTCACCGTTTTATAAGTATTTTTTACAATTTTAAACATTATTTTATATAAAAATAATTGCGGCGATTTAACCGTTAGACTGCCGGAAATATTGGCTTAAGAATTGATGAGTACTTTACATAGCATATATCCTTGATATAATCACATTATATGTGACTTTTTAAAGACATTTTAATCTAACTGATGATGGCAATCTAAATGTTGATAATATTGTAATAACAAAATGAACTTTGCAGTTTTTGCACAAGTTGGGTGTAACCAAAGACTGGTCTATCGTTGACGTTTATGGATTAGAGCCAGACCTATTGGCACTTGTGCCAAAACCAGTTTGCGCTGTCATTTTATTATATCCGTTATCTAAAAAGGTTCTACGATTAAAAATTACATTATTGGATTTATAAATATAATCATATTATGAATGTGAAATGTTCAATACTTTGTATATATTTCTAGGGTACTCCTGTCGTAGAAGATGAAGAACAAGGTGATAAAGATAAGGATGCTACATGTAGTGATCCAGCAGTTTTTCATATGAAACAATATATACATAATGCCTGTGGTACAATCGCTTTGATTCACAGTGTTGCAAACAGCTTAGAGACGTAAGTGTTTAGTGAAAAGGGCAAGGGCTGTAATACTTGTTTGAAAATTAATATGCATTTCATTTACTTTTGCAGTATAAAGCTTCAGGATGGTTTTCTAAAAACATTTTTAGACAAAGCACAAGATTTGTCGCATGAGGGACGTGGAAAGCTGTTAGTGGAATCAGAAGATATTAGCACTACCCACAAAGATGTAGCGCAAGAGGGACAGACAGAGGTATGACTCTTACTTCCTCTGTGTTTATAGATATACAGGAACCAGTTGTATTTCGTCTAAAGTAACAGTTTTTATAAAAAATGTTTCAAATGAAAGTTGTATGATATGAAGGGGTACATAATTCAACGTGATTAGTTTTTCCTTTCTTTTATTAGATTTTGTATAATTGATATCGTTCATAGGTGCCGGGTGAAGAAGTAGTAATCATCCATCACTTTGTGGCGCTTGTACACAAGAATGGAGTTTTATATGAATTAGGTAAATCCTTTTATTGTTACTAGTTAGTAATACTATATAATAGTTTCAAGACTTTTGCATGTGTCAGTCATGAATGTATTTCTTCTATTTTTTATTCTAAGTACTCATTAATTGTATAAATACTCATTAATTGATGAAATATGTTCCTAATATAGTTAATTATTATTACACAAAATTTCAAAACCTTGTTACTATTTTTTGCTTTAGTTTTCTTTCAGTTTAATGTATCAGTGGTTCACAAAAGTATTTGAACATTTCTTAAAACGGAATAAGTTTCTTAATATTGAACCGTAATATCAAAACGGATTAAAATCATTGTCTCAAGCTGTATAACAAGATCTACCTCTAAAAATCTGTCCAGAACTTTTGTACTGACCTAATATACCTTTCATCATTTTCCTCCAGCTTTTCCTTTCCTACATCCTTTTTTCCTCCTCCTTCATTATCTTTCATATCCCTTGGTCTGCACCTATCCCCTCCATCCTTGCTTTCTATTTTCCAAAAATTCTTTTCCCTCCAATTTCCACGCCTTTCCTTTACCTCCGCTAAAAACCCACTTTTCGCCTACTCTCCTCCACTTTTATTGTTACTATTTGCCGTAAACAGTATTAAAATGAAAGCTATTTAATTACTATGTATTGAAATTTTATAGACGGACGAAAATCTGGTCCTATCAGTCATGGTCCAACCAGTCCCGAAACGCTGTTAGAAGACGCAGCGCGCGTCTGCAAGGAATTCATATCTCGCGATCCAGAAGAAGTATGCTTCACCGTTCTTGCGCTCGCTAATAGCGACGCGTCATCACTATAACTCGACATACACATTTAAAACGATTGTTAAAATAATTTATTTTGTACTTTGTATATGTACATTTGCTACATTTTGCATTGCGTTTATTAACATTTATTAATTACTGCTGCTGTAATGCAGTTATTTACGAAATAAGTATTTATCAAAGAATACGTGTTAAAATATGCTCCACATCATAAATAACAAGAGTATTCGAATAAAGATTCGTAAATCGTAAGTACATGATA